GTTGACTTGAAACAACACATCTAGAATTTAGATTTTTTTTAATATTTGTATTTATCTTTTTCTTTGTTTGTTTTAGCCTTTTGTAATAGATAAATTCTTTGGCGTCAAAACTCCATGATCCGAACTCCAAAATATGGTCTACACAATGGGTTGGTTTACCAGCGTGGTATATGCTGACTGGCACAAGCCAGCGTGATTTCATGCTAGCTAACAAGAATGCTGCCCACACCTACACAGCATATGTATGTCCTCAGCAAAGTGCAAGTCTGTGTCAACACTATCTCAGCCAACACTTCTGAGTATGGGACTGACATCTAAATCCATGATTGTCAGTTCTAAATTGAAATAATTATAATTGCTAAAGACCCAAGGCTAATATGGATGAAATGAAAAATCAGAAAAGAATTGGTTACTTTAGAACTTGTTTTTGATAGATCTATCAACATTTTGGATGTTTACTGGGTAATATAAGTTTACAATATTTTGCTTACATCTATGTCCATGTTTATATCAAAGTTTATTAAAAAAAGAAAAATACATGAAACTTTGTACAATATCCACAAGAATCATGAAGGAAATAAAAGATAAAAAGAGATCTGTTCAGTCTGTCATTCGTGTCAGCAAATCAAAAGACTTGTATATCCAGGAAAATAATTTGATATATGCCTGTTGAACTGCGTATCAAACATATGTGTATCCAATGTTGAACTTTAAGATGTACTTCATTTGAAACAGCTGACAACTTATACAGTTGATGATCAACTGCTTACTATTCATGGCCATGTTCATCTTCTATGTCACAACTTGCTCCTTATATATTTAAAATGTTATTGATTTCTTTGCTGTTGTTATGTGTCATGACTCTTTTCCAGTAGGTTTGTTGAGATCTTATTGTTGAATTTGTAATGTAACAGCTAGATCCAAAGAACCTCTAAACTTTCCTACGAGGTTGCGCATTGCTCTAGGTGCTGCCAGGGGCATACTCTATTTACATACTGAAGCTGATCCTCCTATATTTCATCGAGATATAAAAGCCAGCAACATCTTACTGGACTCCAGGTTTACTGCTAAAGTTGCTGATTTTGGACTTTCCCGCCTTGCACCAGTTCCAGAGTCTGAAGGTACTGCACCTGGTCATGTGTCAACTGTGGTGAAGGGCACACCGGTGAGTCCTGCTCGATTCAAATAATTTCTCCTGTATGAGCTTCTTTTACAACCTATATATTAATTGGCTTTTGATAGGGAAGTGGTCATGCAGAGTTGCAGACTGCCATCTAAACTTTGATATTAGGAGTAAACCTAACTATTTGAGCATCCATTTTGTAACTAAGCAGAATCTATATTAAACATGGTACATTTTGATGTTTGGATCACGTGCCTAGTATCTGAAATCTAGTAATGCCTGTCAAATGATAGTATGTGGGACCACGTTTGTCCAATGAGAATTGTATTGCTTTAGAAAGTATTCAAATGATAGTCTGAGAGATTCTGTTTGTCCAATGAGGATTGTTTTGCTTTGAAAAGTGCTCAAATGATAGTCTGAGAGACTTTGTTTGTCCAGTGTTTGCTGTGAAAAGTACTAACAGCTTCGTAAGGTTATATTTAAGCCACACTCTCGTGAAATCCGGTCATAGGAAATATTCTTAAACCTAAGTTGCTTGACGATATCAAGTATCATATCTCAACTAAATTGTTATATTAATTTTATGATGGTGGCCTGCTTAACTTTATTTGAGTGCAAAGTTCTACAGCTGAGACAACCTTTGATGGCTTCCTATGATACCGAAGATTAATACTGGTGCCCAGAACATTCAAGTCAATATTTTATTGGTGTAGAAAGAGGATACTGGCTTGTTCTATTAACTATGGTCATCCTAATGTATACCTTTATCTCTCAACTTTCAATCTCTCGTGGTCTCATCCATTTTTTTTAACTTTATTGGATTGAAGAATTTCTTGAGGATATGTCATTTAGTTGACCAATCTTGGTGATACTTTTCATGGATCAACTTAGTATAATAAACTTGTCAATCAATTTTAGGGATTTAAGTGCCCAATATACTTTGCTATCATAAACTTCTGAATCCTTTGAACAGCTGAACCTGTTTTCCACCATAATTTCATGTTAATGAAAATGAACTTGCCCAGTGAAGTTCTGAAGCAGAAAGTTACTATCAGCATTTGATTGCAACAAAGACATGAGAATCTGCAATATGTTAAAGGTTGGTCAGTTGCTATGATAACTGGTCAATTGAAATTGATGCAATCAATTGAAGTCAGCATAGAGCTTGGATAAACAATTTTAATTTGATTGTCAAAATTGGTAAAGTATGCATGTTTAGGGGGATACTAATGCAATTTAGGGGAGTGTTAATTGAGATTAATACATGAGAATGACCCATTTATGGGAACTTGTAAGACAGTTGTCAGACTGTTAATGCCTATAGATTTAAGTGTTGGGCGATTAAGAACAAATATATATAAAAATATTGTATTGTTGAGATGAATGTGGAGTTAATAAGATAGAGAAGAGAGTAATTTTTTTGTAAACATTTAGATAATTTAGATAGAGAATAAAATAAGAGAATCAGATGACATGTGCTGAGGAGGTTTATGGATGTTGTAGTTAGAAGAGTTGAGACAATTAGTGTTAATGATAAAATAAAAAGTAATGAGAGACCTAATCTGATTAGAAATTATAAATAAATATTTAAACTCTCTTGATCCATCTAGTCGACCTCAAATATTTGGGCCATTACAGCTTGTCATTGTTGTTGGATTGGTTAGAATAATTTGGGTCACATCAACATGATGGACATCAAGAGGCCTATTTGGGCTAAATATTACACTTGTAATTGTGGTTAAAGTCAAAATTATTGTATGCAGTATCTCTAAATTGAGAAATGGCTTGAAAGGTGATGCATGAAGGGATGAGGCATAGCATTGCCTGACATTGTTCTCTAAGAAAAATGGATTGCTTTTTGAGATGATTTAATATTAGTGCTATAAATAGTTATGCTACAACGAATCTTCTACAATCTCTTGGGCATATAAGCCCAATTCAATTGCTCTCCTGCCATCGATATTTTCTTTCACAAAAATGCACCTTTTCTTGCAGGGTTATCTTGATCCGGAATATTTTTTGACTCATAAGCTGACTGATAAAAGTGACGTATATAGTCTTGGAGTTGTGCTTTTAGAGATATTGACGGGGATGCAACCTATTTCTCATGGAAAAAACATAGTCCGAGAGGTGAGCACCTTACTGCGTGTCTTTATGCCATTCTCATGAATCTTTGCTTTTTTTGTGAAGACATTATTCATTATGATATATTTGCTGGTTATTACCCATATATTTTCTGTGGGTCTGAGCCTGTCAAACCAATATTAATAGCTAGTTTTCCCATGACTGGGTATGTTACTATATACTTATTTGTAATTTGATTGGAAAGCATACTGGAATTCTCTCCCTTTTGTGTTTGTAATTTGATTATGATTGGAAATAATATTGGAAACCAATATTATCTGTATTCATTATGATTGGAAAGCATAGTAGAATTTACCAGCCCCATTCGCTTGATTAGAAATAGTTTCCAGCTATTTAAATAAAATTTGTCAATTAATCATGCATTTTATTTCGAGGTAATGATGAACAAATGTTGTTTTTTTTGTGTCCTTGTTTTCCTTGACCAGGTGACCATGGCATGTCAGTCCAGTATGGTGTTCTCAATCATTGATAACCGTATGGGCTCGTATCCATCTGAGTGCATCGAGAAGTTTGTCTCATTGGCACTTAGATGTTGTCTGGATGAGACAGATGCAAGACCTTCAATGACAGAGGTAGTCAGGGAGCTTGAGACCATATGGCGAATGACACCTGAAGCTGATACCACAGCATCAGAATCCACAGCCACAGATTCCGGTATGAAGGCGACACCCCCATCATCATCCTCGGACTCTAGGAACCCCTATGTGTCATCTGATGTCTCAGGCAGTAACCTTCTTAGTGGTGCCATGCCTACGATTATCCCACGCTGATAGCATATATTTATTGTTAAAGATCAGACATTGTTGGTGTTGTCCTTTTCTCTCCCTCTCGGGCGGTGGTCTTCATTGTGCCTTGGGTCCAGTATTTTGTGTCTAAATAAGTATGTCATTTGCTTCGGCAAACAACTGAAAATTTGCACATTTTAGAACTTGTGTGTGGAAATTATTTGTTTTTGGTTTGGTCATGCTGTGTATAATAAGTAATGTTTATTTTCCTTTTGTGAGGAAACACAAAAGTTTACTTAATGGCGTACAATGGCATTGACTGCATTCTTCATCTTATCCCAGGGATACAATATCAGAAAATTCTTGGTTTTTTAGCTGGTCTCACCATGTATCATTAATAGTGGTAATTTTTCATTCTATTATCTCACCATGTATCTAATGCTGGTTAGAAGCCAGATGGATTTTTATGTAGTTGATATTTTATTTGAAACAACGTTATTCTCATTAATGTATGGTGGTACCGCTTTTCGGATGGCTTTGGTAGGAACGGTATATTCTCATCAACCTCGTCGTTCCATGTTTTCTTGATAATTATGAGCATTATTTCACCGTGGTATCCATCTCTTGGCTTCGGTATGTTACTCTTCTTCATTCATCAAGTAAAAGGGTTCTCCATATTCTGGGTCAGCAATGCTCTTTTTCCATGATTGTGCGTTGTGTCTTGTACTATAATGCTCTTTTTCCACTCACAAAAGCTATCATGATAAGGACACGAGAAAAAGAGAAAAAAAAAAGAAAAAGGAGCTTTATAAGTCAAACTATTAATTATTATTATTAATTATAATCATTCGAACAATTTAAATTTACTAAAAAAGTTATAATCATTCATATGTATATAGCAATATCAATTAAATTTTAAACATAATTATGCGGATAAGTAAACTTCAATTTCGAATCTAGTTATTTTCAAGCTTACTTATTTATTATTAATCGTAAGTAAGGTTGCCTACCGCTGCACTGTTGTCCCCCGATCTCTTCCCTTCGGCAGCTGGGCGGATAGAGAAAGCGACTCCCAGCGCTCATCATCTATGCCGGTTTCTTCTTCTTCTTCTTCTTCTGCGCTCGATCGGGTTACTTAGGGTTTTCGAGAACTCTTTCCGCATCGATCGAAACCCTATTCTCCGTCCGACTAGGTCCGATCGATCGATTGCCCTTCTTTAAGCTTTCTCTTGCTCCGATTTGCGGTCCGATGATGGAAGCCTCCGGCAGAAGCTCGAATCCCTACCGAAGCCAGTCCGCCTCCTCCGGCAGCGGTTCTTCCAGGTGGTATCGGGTGCAGCTGTTGGCGTCCAATTTCATCCGGTCGCGTCTTTCCGACGTTTTGGACCACTTTGGGGTCTTGCGACCCAGGGCGAGTCACGCGGAGGCCGAGGGCTTGGTCGGTGGTGAGTCTCGCGTCCATGCTTCCGGTCGGATTGGTGGGTCTGCGGCCTCTACCGGCAGCGGTGGGGAAGTGTCTATACGGATTATTGGAGTGGGCGATCAGGAGAGTCTGCGGGTGGGATCGACCCAGCCACATCCTCTGGTAGTGGGGTCTGGAAGAGAGGGAGGTTCTAATGTTTCTGGCGTCTCAGGTGAGCCCATTGCTACTTTTTCGGAGAGGCGAGGAGGAGATGGAGGGAGTGATACTATGGTTGGTGAGTCAGCCTCGTCATCTTCTTCTGCGTCGGCATCTGTACCGCCTGTTGGTAGTAGGAGCATGGATGGAGACTCAAACATCACAGGAGGCAATAATAGAGATTCAACCTACCAGAGATATGATATACAGCAAATAGCAAGGTGGATCGAACAGATACTACCGTTCTCGTTGTTGCTACTGGTAGTCTTCATCAGGCAACATTTGCAAGGTAAGCTCTCTCAGAATTGGTTCTTCCAAATTGTATCCATTGTCATTTATGCTATTTTTGTACAACTTTGGCAGTAATGATAAGCAGATAATCTTTGAAGTAGATATGTAGAATCAATAACTTTTACTTTACTTGTTCTGATGTCGCCTTTTTTTTTTTTTTTTTGCTTCTGAACCATTAGTCTAAGAAATTTTTTTCTGGTTCCTTTGTCATTTTATCTTTTTTAACTTTATCATATGTTTCTTTTGTGTGCAACCTTTACATACACAGGCTTCTTTGTCACTATTTGGATTGCAGCAGTGATGTTTAAGTCCAATGATATTTTGAGGAAGCAGACTGCTTTAAAGGTTTGTTATTGTTCTACTTTATGACACTTTTAAAGATGCAATTTACTCTGGATCTTGTGAAACTTCTTGCTGAATAACAATGCTACACTTTAATACAAATATATCCTTCCAAATGTGTTAAGATTACGTTTAAGTCTTGTTAAAATTAACAATGCTACATTTTGCTTAGGCATGATACAAATATAACATGCAATCTATTCCTCTGTGTATTTGGGTTTTGTTTTTAATCCAGCACATGATGAGTGCCTTGAGATGTTGATCTAATTTCTCCTGCTATAGCTTTATCACTTAAGGGGATCATGATAAGCAGTGCTTGCATAATAATTGCAAGTACTTGATTGTTGTATTAAATAACGACTAACATTATCTAGTTCAAACTAGAATACTGAAAATAGCATTCACAAAGGTAGGATTGATACGTCGAGTGTGTCAACCAATTCAGAGCAATATTTAGGTCGAGTGCACAAAATTTTTGATTCTTGGTCTTATAAGGTAGCCAGACATGCTATCCAACTACTTATGCACAAATATTTTGCGCCCCAATAATTTGTGTAATCAGACATTGCTATCCAAGTACATCATGCACAAATATGTTATGCTCCAATGATCCGTGTATCCTCTGGAATTATTTTCTACAAAGTTAATAATGCAAATTAATTCCTTCACCATTCAGTTATCACACACTTCTGAACAATGGTTCAAGATCAGAACAAGTAAGGGCAAATATTTTTCATATCTTAGACTTTAATGCAATTTCATGAGATATTGGAAGCATCTGGCTAGGTTTTCTCGTCATTAGTGTCTTGTAGGTACTTGGTTTTTTGCTGAGCAATTAGCACATTTTTTCTATTACGGATGGAACCTTCTATAATTTTGCTAGTTTTGGTCTCTGCAGGGTGAGAGAAAAATATCTGTCCTCATTGCAATCACACTAGTCTTCATGATTCATGTATTTGGAGTCTACTGGTGGTACAGGAATGATGATCTTCTATACCCTCTGGTCATGCTTCCCCCAAAGGAAATACTGCCATTTTGGCATGCCATTTTTATCATCATGGTCAATGGTATATGCTTTATGATTAATATCTTCAGTTATTACGGCTTGTATGACCGTTCATTCCTGTCATACACTAGTATAAATCTGTCATGTAACATTCAATCGCTAGAACCTTTTAGTTTTGCTAAAGCCATACGCATCCATTTTCCTCCAGCTGTGTAGCCTCCTCTGTCTAGATTTTTGGTAATATTTGTAAATCTAGAATTTGCTTCACACTTTCATAAGCAAATTACTTGACGTATAGAGATATCTTTCTAAGCATTAGGATTTTTCATGCTTGTTCAGTTTCAGCTTTCGTGCCCTCCCTTTCTTTTTTAAGATTTTTAGGATGACTTCAAAGAAATTTGTGTTATACCAATTTTCCAGAATCTGTTCCCTGTCTTTTTGGTCTTCGAGTTTTTCAAGCTTAATACATCCCTTTACTAAAATCTAGTTACAGATTATGAAATTATTTATAGATTTTTAATATTTTGTATATCCTTTCATATCTTTTTCATAATATGATAGTTTAAGAGTTCCTGGTGTCACAGCTTATGGATGATCTATTGTTATGTGGACTTTACAGATACTATGGTGCGCCAGGCAGCTATGGTTGTTAAGTGTTTTCTATTGATGTACTACAAAAACAGTAGGGGACACAACTATCGAAAGCAGGTAAATCGTTTCATTTTCCACTAGTCTCAGTTAAGTATATTTAAGTTTATGTTTTCAATCAGAATTTAGATAAGATACCACCATAATGAGTGAGGAACTTATCCAGTTGAAGTGTAACATGTACAACTTAGAGTAAGGTTCAATATAGATATATTTTGTCATCTGATCCATACTCATTTGACTGCACTTCTTGAGGCTCTGATGGTGATCTATTGTGAATGTCGGGAGAGAAGATACGGAGAATAAAGAGAATATGAAAACATGTAGCAGATATTAAATAAAGGTGCCTTTCTTATTGATTACAATCAATCAGTCATGCTTAGATTTTGCAGCAACACTGGGAATTGTGATCTTGACAACCATATGGTTGGCATGACTAAAGGGAGAAGGTTTATCATTAACTGCTATAGCTTCTTTCATGATGTCTTCTCTGTATGCTTGTGGATGTTTCTAACTTCTTTAAGCTCAAACCAGTATTTAGTGGTTTAGAAAACCATACGAATATTGTTTGTCATCATAAATGTTATCTACAGAAAGGTACAGGTTATCAGTAAACTAGACATTAATTTTCCAATATTTCTTTTTAGGGACAAATGTTGACGCTTGTTGAATACTTCCTTCTTTTGTACCGAGCTTTGTTGCCAACTCCTGTTTGGTACCGGTTCTTCCTGAACAAGGAATATGGAAGCCTCTTTTCATCCCTCACTACAGGGCTATACCTTACTTTCAAGCTGACATCAGTGGTGGAGAAAGTATGTCACTCGTCTTTTCTTTGCTAGCAAGCATCTGTTCTCCTTAATCTTGGAAGTACTAACAAACTGAAATTTCATAGTACAAGGTTACCTTTTCTAGAGTGTGATAACAAATCTTAACAAGCTGGAATTTCTAGCATGCTAGATGCAAGTTTTCCCTTTCCTAAAGTTTGAACCACAGTTCTTTGACACTAGCAAACCTGTGATTTCAGGTTCAATCATTTTTTTCTGCATTGAAGGCGCTATCACGGAAGGTACATTATGGGTCTTATGCAACCACAGAACAGGTAAAATCTTAGTACTTGGACCACCAATGCTTTGTTAAAGGGTAATCAATTGAGTAAATTCTTGTATCTTTAGCTCGTTTTCCTTGCTTTTCTTCTCATGAAATATCACACCAAAATTAATTAAGATGTAACCTTGTTCATTGGGTATACTGATAATGGTATGAACATGAGTCACATTAGGGTTTAGACAGCCTACTCCTGGATTTCTGTTTTCAGCCAAAAGTGACAGAATTGAGAGAAAAGAGGAGGAAGCAAAGGAGTTACAAGTAAGAAATAGAGAATTAAAATAGAATGAGTAGTCAAAATGACTATCTGTCAAGATATCATGTTATAACTTGTTCTCCATTAACATTAATTATCGAAACATAAGACCGATGCTTACTCTAACACTCAAGGGAGAAAGCACATATTAAACTAATTGACAGTCTACTGTAAAACTAAACAAGTGGGCTACCAATACCAGTGACATCAAGCATCAAGCATGGATCTTTTGCCTCTTATTCTCAAGTTGGATTTTGATGTCCTCTTTCTGTTAGGATTTGATTTCAAGCAGTTCCTTCCGTTGCAACAAGGAAGATGTTTAGCTCTTCTCATGGATTTGGAAGAATATTTTTCTCAACTGGTGAGACATCATTCTAGTAAAATATAGATTTTGGGAAGTCGATCTCTTGGTTTTCAGAGGAAGAAATTGCTAGTTCCACACATGAATCTTTGGTTCTGGTTCATAGATGAGAACAAACCAAACTGGTAAACTCCAGCTTGGAAATTACTTAAAGCAAGCCAATCCATTTTGGTTGGGAAACAAAACCAAACTTAAACGTAGTGGTTATATTTGGTTTCTAATTGATTTTATTTCTAATTAATCTAATTATAGGAATTTTGTGAAACAGCCAATATTAGAAAACATTGGAACTGGTTCACTTTAAAGGAAAAAGGCATATCAGCTTTGTGAAGAAATGAACAAAAATACTACCTTGGAAGTCGTGAACCTGATAGTTTAAAAAATGCTCATGTGCATACCATGTCGGTCAGCATGGTATAGAATCCTTCCACTTGGTATTCATTCAAAAATACCACAGAAATCTTTTATGGAATCATGACAAATAGATGTGAGAAAGAAATTTCCAAACAGTTGTAGCGGCAATGAGACTAAAATATTACTTTGAATTTATCTAACATTGAATAGGATCTTCTCTATACTAAGGAATTTGCATGGCAAATGCAATGAAATAAAGATACATTCTTTTCTACTAAAATTTATTTGATTGAGGCATTCAAATGTTTTTTTATCTAGTTGACGACATATGTTTCAAACTCAAAGCAACTGGCCTTACCATGGCAACTAGAACGGGAAAAGAAATTGATTTTCTGATGATCCTGTGGGACAAATGAGCCTGCAAGAAATCTTCAGAAAAAAGGAAACATCCTCAAGAACTTGATTTACTACATGATGATCACTGAAGGAAGATAGCAAAACAATGTGGACGCTTATAAAAAGAGCAGTACTTAGTTTGTCTTAATTTTTGGAGCGTAAAACTATGGAACTAGTCCCAGTGGTTTTGGTGCGAGCATTAACCACTTTGCACTTAGAATTTTCTTCATTTGTGTCTACATCTTTATGCTTGATTTTGTACCTAGAGCAACATGAATGGAATCTCTCGCAGCAAAATTATAACTAAGAAGGTTTCTGTCATGCGATGCATTCACATGTCGTGGAATTGATACAGGTGATTGCAGCTGGTGATCTTTGTGCCATTTGCCAAGAGAAAATGCACGCTCCCATCTTACTTCATTGTAAACACATCTTCTGTGAGGACTGTGTCTCTGAGTGGTAAATTCTCTCTTTCATGTGCTTGTATGGGAAGAAGCTTCCACAAGTTGCTTATTAAATATTCGGATGTCGCCCTTTTTCAGGTTTGAGAGAGAAAGGACGTGTCCTCTGTGCAGGGCACTGGTCAAACCTGCAGATCTCCGGTCATTTGGTGATGGTTCCACGAGCTTGTTCTTTCAGATGTTCTAGTTCAGGTCATCAGCTACATATACTGAGCCTGGGATACAGCATTATGGCCAGGAATTAGCAAGCAGGCTTCTTACCACATTGTGGTGTATATGTTACGGTGTTCTGACAGCAGCTGAAGCTTTCTGTAAATGTCACCGCTGCTCGAGTTGATTGCTGTAACCAATCTATATATGCCCAGTATGGAATATCATGAAACAGAAGCAAGAGAAGTTTGACGGCATTTACAGTATAAATACGCATCTACCTCACATTATTGTCAATAAAATGTCCGCAGCATATATTTTTCAGTGAGTTAGTTGATGGTCATTGTCGATCAGAGACGATGATCAAGTCGGGCATTCGGTCATGCGGACAACCAATCAAACTTCCGCATGGTGCCTGATTTGTAGATAAAAATATCAGCACCCAATAAAGGTTAGTAATTGTCATCAAAGATGCAATCATATAAAGTTTTGGTAGTCTCAGTAAATAAAGAATGAAAAAGAGTCCTTGTGAAGAGAAAACTATCTTGTAAATAGGGTTTTGTTTTTCTATATTAAATGCTAGAAGGTCTTTAAAATGCTAATTTTCATATATATATATATATATATATATATATATATATATATATATATATATATATATAATCTTCAGTTCAGTGACATCAATATTGGGTCAGTGTAGTTGTTTTGCATGCATCAACATGATGATCTTGCTATTTTATCATGATTGCTGTAATGGGGAATCAGAGCATCTGAAATTTTCCAACTTCGATAAACCTTCAAGGGTTCTATAAGTTTGTAAAAAAAATAATGTGATCTTTATGCAAGCAAAGACTTGAGAGTGAACTTTGAGAATCTTAAGATGAAGGCTAGCAAGACACAGGTCTCAATCTGTCACATTTAAGATGGAGCTCATCTTTGGTTCTGCGTGTTTAAGAACACTCCAATCCTTGTTTTCAACGTCAGAAAAGTTCATTCGACAGCAGTCCTTAACTCTTCGTCTCGCAGAAAGCCAGCATTTCAATGCAGGCTTTGCAGAGAGGAAGAGCTCAGTGGGTTGTTCCTCTTTCCAAGGTCGGCTTTACGTGCGCCTCAAGTCTGGCTTTTGGTGTGCAGCGCAGTCGCAGACAGCATGATAAGAAGCGAAAGTGTTCCTCCTGTGGCACACAGATGGGTGGAGGTTGGTGTGAGGTGGAGCAGCTCCCACTGTAACCATGGCATGGAAAAAGGCAGGCAAGCAAGCCATGGCCTTGGCCGTAGGCGTTACACAAAAGCAGTACCAAAACAGCTGGCTATGTGCAAACGACACGATGCCTGCACCAATCACTGCTTCTTGTCTGAATGCAGCAACACAGGGAGAGAGAGAGAGAGAGAGAGAGCGAGAGAGAGGAAGGGACTTGTCGTCTCCTCTGTCCGTCCTCCCACATCCCCTGTTTTTTTGTTGGAAGAAGCATCACCCTTCATCATAGTCTCTGCCACCAAACGGATTTAGTGAAGGTTGATGTGACCGCAGGGGCCTTCGTCTTGGACAAATGCCATGGACCGTCCGCCCAGCGGACACTGCTGAGTTGGGCAGTCTCGGTCTCTTGTCTCTGTTTCTTCAGCAGAGGAGAGTTGAGCTGTAATGACTGTTCCTGGCACGGTTGCTTTGAATTTGAGCTGAAGCGTTCCAGACGCGGATTTAGGTAAGTTGTTATTGGTTGGATGTGTAAGAAGTAGAACGAGTGGCAGTGATCTGAAGCTGCCATGGGCCACTGGGTGGCAAGGCTGTCTCAATTCTGGAATCAGCTTTATTCAGCTACAACGAGCAGCAGCTTCACATGGACTTCGGGAACGCCTCCCTCCCTCCCTCCTCAGAGTACTCGCGTCGAGACCAAGCTTACAAGACAACTGTATGACATGGACAACCCTTGACGGCACATATACCTATGAGGTACATAGCCATGATTAAGAGAGAGTCTAGCTACACATTGTACTGGGGGATCTGCTGCTGCTCTGCATCCCGCCGGATAACTGGGTCTCGGCGAGCATAATCCCCCCGAAGCGGGCAGAAGAGATTCTTTGCTGCGTGGAGACAAACCAGTCCTGATCAAAGAATACACTAATGGCGAGCAGGTAAGAAGACGATAACGATAATTGCGGGAGTCCACGAATTCATGTGAGTTGTTGTTGTACAAGTGGTCCATCCCAGGAAATTATAGTAACTCGGAACAGCTTTTAGTGGGATGGAGGGGGTGGGGAAGAGTGAGAGCCCGGTTGCTGGGAGTGGTCTTGTAATCTAGCATGGATTCCATCTCCTTTTCTTGTTCCCATGCAACTCGACTCTTGTTAGGGTGAGGGAGAAGGAATCATGTACATGTCATATAAATAGCAGCGAGAGTGCGGTGGAGGTGGAGGTGGAGGTGGAGATGGAGATGGAGGTCTGGCTTTCCTTGTGGGCGGTCGGCGTCTGCGGCTTGCTTCTGATCTACTTCTACTCCGTCGCTTGGCTGCGGCCGGAGAGCATCCGAAACAAGCTGCGGCAGCAAGGCATCACCGGCCCTCCGTCGTCCTTCCTCTACGGGAACTCGCTCGAGATGAAGAAGCTCGTCATGGCGGAGCGATCTCGAGGCGGGCGAGGCGTGGAGATAAAGCACGACTACACCCCCCTCGTGTTTCCTTACTTCGAGCGGTGGAGGAAACACTACGGTACGATCCGATTGCACGCTTTGTTTATGCTCCTCCTCCTCCTCCTCTTTCGCATCGGTGAATCCGCTTTGAAATGAGCTGGGATTCCTCTCGTGACTGGTCGTGTCTCGCCTGCAACACTTGCCTTGCGTTCCTTGTTCATGCAAGCGGACAGTGGGAGTTCAAACTGGGCCCAGAGGCGAGGACTTACATGATTGCTGCCTCTCCCTTTCGCCTTCGCCTTCGCCTTCGCCTTCGTCTGGTAGAGACGCTGCGAGGAGAAACGAGAAGGAGAGGTAGATATGAAGGAGAGGCTGTGCTTTATGGAAAGAGACCCAAGGGTAAAGAGTGAGGCAGATATGAAAAGGATGGGGAGGAGACAGGAAGAAGGATCCTCATGGAGACATTGTCTGACTGACGCAGTTTTCGGAGCATGATCGCCACACGTCTCTGCAGAAAGTGGTGTTGGTGATGTCTTCCGCCTGATGAAGCTTAGAATTCCCATAATATTCTTGTGATGAACGCGTTCGAGGAAATGAATCTGTGGCTCAGAACAGTGGCAGTGTGACGCACAGCCTAAGATGAGATCTCATCGAGTCGTGTTTGGTGTCCGATACACATCGCCGATGGCATGTCCAATTAAAGACGGCCACCGTAAAGATTCCACAGGTGGTCACATCAGGAACCATGACAAAGCCAAATTCACCGAGCTTGAGCTTACCACATCAACTTAGAGGAACAACAACAATAACTAATTAGATACAATAGGGTGGAACAGAAAGAAAGATCCAGTGTTTGATGATGATGATGATGATGCATCGTTTCGATTCATGCAGGTCCAGTGTTCTCGTATTCGATGGGCAATGTAGTCGCCTTGCACGTGAGCCATCCGGATCTGGTGAAGGAAATCAGCCTCTGTTCATCTCTGGACCTGGGAAAGGCCACCTACTTGAAGAAGACCCATGAGCCTCTGTTCGGTGAAGGCATTCTGAAATCCAATGGGGTGTCTTGGTCTCACCAAAGGAAGATTATAGCGCCCGAGTTCTTCTCCGACAAGGTTAAGGTAGTGAACGCAGCTTCCTTCCTTGAATACACGCCATTTTCGGTTCATCGGACCGGGGACTCACACCGGCTGGCATGTGTGTGGAAAATGCATGCAGGGCATGGTGGATTTGATGGTGGACTCTGCCGTCCCTGTGCTGAAGTCGTGGGAGGAAACAGTGGAGCTCGGAGGAGGAACTGCAGAAATAAAGGTTGATGAGGATTTAAGGTGCTACTCTGCAGATGTGATCTCCAGAACATGTTTCGGGAGCAACTACATCAGGGGGAAAGAGATCTTTCAGAAGCTGAGAGCGCTGCAAAAGGCTGTTTCAAGACCCAATCTCTTCGCTGAAATCACCGGATTAAGGTGCTGCTGCTATCTATATATGATCCCCCTTTCATCCCCCCCGCCGTCTCTGTTGCTTCTGTGATGCCAAGTATGCTGGCGTCCTGACAGATGTCTTCCCACGAAAAGAGGCCGAGAGGTGAGGAGGCTGAACAAGGAAGTGAATTCCCTCATCCTGAAGACGGTGAAGGAGGAGGGCGAGGGAAGGGAGAACCGCACGTCGCAGCACAGCCTGCTGCATGCCATCCTCCGCAGCGCCAACAACAGCCTCACCTACACCCACGCCTCCGACAGCTTCATAGTGGACAACTGCAAGAACATATACTTCGCCGGCCACGAGGCCACTGCCGTGGCCACGACGTGGTGCCTCATGTTGCTCGCCCTGCACCCGGAGTGGCAAGCTCGCGCTCGCGCCGAGGCGGCGGAGGTCTGCGGCGGCCGGTCGCTGGACGCCCACGCACTCCAAAAGATGAAGACGGTGAGCACTGAATCCTCTTCTTCATTGCAGCAGCAGCAACACTACTTTCCCCTTGCACTTGATCTCACCTACTGGGGCTGCAGTTAACCATGGTGATCCAGGAGACGCTGCGGCTGTACCCTCCCGGAGCTTTCGTGGCGAGAGAGGCACTGCAGGAGATGGAGTTTGGGGGGATTCACATCCCCAAAGGCGTCAACATCTACGTGCCCGTCTCCACCTTGCACCACGACGCCACCATCTGGGGTGCAGACGTGCTGGAGTTCAAGCCCGAGAGGTTCGCCCGGGGCATCATGGGGGCGTGTCAGCTCCCACAGACGTACTTGCCCTTCGGGGCCGGGCCACGGACGTGTCTGGGCCAGAACTTCGCCATGATCGAGTTGAAGGTCATCCTCTCCCTCATCCTCCTTAGGTTCAGCTTCTCATTGTCACCGAACTACTTCCACTCCCCATCCTTGAGGTTGATTGTAGAGCCTGAGTTCGGAGTGAAGCTCATGGTGAAGAAGGCATGACATGATGACTCGCCTAACCTGATTATATATATATATATATATTTCAATCAAAATATACTTGTTTTACTTGGGTTTACAAGTTGTTTAGGTAAAGTGGGTAAAAGTAATTGTATGCATCAAAGCTCAAGAACATTTTACAGCCACTAAATGCCTCTCACCTCTGTTCTTCTCTCGGTTAAAACCCTCATACGCCACCATTATCTGTACTACGGAAGTTTGGAAGGCATTACCTGATATCATCTCTCTCTCTCTATACATATACATCTATATACTGGTTATGTTGCGCAAGTGGTCAACAGATATTTCTTTCTCTTAGCAGAAGTCTCAACGCACCTCCTTCTCTCTCTCTCTCTCTCTTCAGAAACATCCATCATCAATTTTGTGCTTAATCTTTTTTAGCAGAACTTTTGTCCTTGGTGAACTTGATGGCGTCAGACACCAACAGATGATTGAATTGTTCCTATTAATTAGCTTCTGCAGTTCTCCTACTTGTGCAATTCTGGTGCAAAGAATAATGTGATATTTTCATTCAGATTTAAGAGATAATTCCTTTTTGTTGACAAAAGCTATTGAAAAAATGAGAAATAGTTTTACTTCGCACAGATGATCGGGAAAACTAAAACACGTGTTCCATGACCTCTATGACTTCATTGCTGAGTCGTCAGCACGGCTTGATTCAATAAATCGTCAACACGACTTCCTAACGGGAGAGTCGACATCATATCAGGTTGGGACATCGTCTACCGAGCCGATCTGAGGTAGAGCTAAGGGTTGCTGTTCCTTTATCGTTGGGCTCCTACACACAAGTCGAAGTCAGAAGGGGAAATCCCGACTCAACTCCTTCGAAGCTTAAGTTAGCATAGTGATAATAGGGTGGCTTTGAGTATCCGAGTTCCGACCCCCTGGGCTGGTCGGGCGACTGACTTTTATATCCGCGATCGAGGATCGATCATACTTGGTTCGTTGATGCTCGTCGACGCTCCAAGCAACAGGCTCATATACTCTACATAAGCACTAACCGACCTACATGGCTTTGCGCCTTCCTAAGCGACTCTATACTATGCGACGCCGCCCTGTATAGCCTCAGGCGATGCAGGCGCAATCGACCATCTCGTACAGTTCTGAGATGCCATACCAACTCTGATGTGACGAGTGAATAAATACCAGAATTTACCTTGTCAACACCCATTCATTAATTTTCATGATCAAATTTGGCCATGAATCCATTTACTTAGGCCATGCAATTACCTTACTGCATAAAATATCCAGCAAATTCACAAAATAAAACGAGGAGTTGGCATAAAAGTCAACTCAGATCTAACATCAAACATGATGTTACAAAAAATCAAGTGTTGCATAATTTCACCCGAGGATGGAGGAGATGGGAAGCAAATCCATCATTTCATTACACTACAACATGTTGAAATGATTAAAACAGTCTCTCAAACTGCTACCTTGGACAACATCTGCCAAACGAAGCATCAAAAAAGAGAGTTTTGTTTCCTTACCCTCTCATCTCTCCTCCCCTTTTCTTCTTTTACATGATTTGCTATCCTTTTTACAGCCATTCTACGGACCACTACATGCACACAAGCCATAGAAGAAGACACACCAGAAGAGACTCAGACTCTCAGAAGCGATCCACGAGACCCGAACATTTGGTCGAGCAGTATGACGATGGCCATTGCGAGGGTGGCGTCGAACCCCGGCTCGACGATGAGGCGGAACACGTCGGCGCCGAAGGCGACACCGCCGACCGGCTCCTTTCGCTTGATCTGCGCCAGCTGCCGCCGCCCGTCGTCGTAGACGGCGCAGCATCGCCGCGAGTAGGAGCCCTCGACCTCGTAGGCGAGGCAGGACTTGGCGCGGGAGGAACACGAGGTCACATGCACCACCGACCTGGAACTGATGAGGTTTACTTGCTTCTTGACCGCAAACCGCGGGTTGGCCACCTCCTCCCCTTGGTAGATCAGCCAGTGTTCTCCCAGACTAAGCTTCTGCGCGCAGAACGAGCGATCAGACGAAGAACAGAGACAATACGCAGAAAAATCGAATCTTTTTTATGCTCGAACAACAAAGATCGGATCTTCTTCTTCTTCTTCTTCTTCTTCTTCTCAGACTAGATCAAAACGAAAGCAAGAGCGATCTACCTTCCTTCGAATCGTTAACAGAGGCTTCCCGTCGGCCTCCATGAGGACGATCTCCCCTTTACTCCCGGAGGCATAGTTGTCGACTCGAAACACAAGATTCCCCTTCGCGTCGAAGACGGTGAACCCGTCGCCGTGGAAGAGGAGCGACTTCCGCCAAACCGTCAGCGCCGCCGCCTCGCATCCGCCGGAGGACGCGTTCGGGTGGACCTTCGTCATCGCCGAGATCCGAAGCGAGGACTGGGCAGCCGCAGGAGGAAGCCGCGGTCGCTACTTATAGCGTCGTCCGCCAAAAAAGCCCACGGAGGGCAGTCTAGAGAATTCATCTCCGCACGTGCGCTGCAGCTGCCGTGACGTCGACGGGGTATTAGAACCCGATTAGAGTAATTGCGGCGTTTAGCCTTCCATGGATTCGACCGTAATCGGGAGTCGTGGCTCTTAGGAAGCCACGTGGCAGATTATTTAGTGCTAATTACAGTGGATGGCTTCAACGGGTCGGTGTTTAATTAAAATTGAGAGATTTTTTTATCGCAAAAAATCGAGATATGTCGGACGAGAAATACAATTAACAAACGATGAGAGGTCTTTTCTTTGATTCAGTCATTTGTCTTATCAATCGTTCTAATAATACTTTAATTATTTTGTGATGTCACGATGGACTAATTTAATGAGGCCGTACTGAATAGGCTGTATGTGGAGCAATTCATCGTTGATACTTAGAAGCGTTGACCGTAAAGGATATGTTCGACCGATATAAACAAAGATCTTCATCCATATCCTGCAAAATGCACGAATTACAATTCATTGCTCCCAACCTTACATGGCTACGCTCTGATCTCCATGCTTTAGAAAGTTTGATTACTTCAAAATTTGACTTTGATCGACTTGCACCCCATTCCCCCAAGCAACAAAGTCCAATCCTTCCCCTAACTATTAATTATAAAGAACAGTAATATAATGTTGATGATTCATATTCGATAAATTATAATTTAAATGAATGAATATGATATTGTTAGTATTTTAATGAGACTAAGTATATATTATTCGTATAATTAGTTATTTTTAACATTTCGATGTTTACACTTTTAAAAGTTATATTATGATTCGGAGTTAAACATTGAGATACAGTTAAAAAAATAATTTATAGAATTAAAAAAATCAAAAGAGAAAAGAAGTCAAATATTTTATTTCGTAAGTATATAGATCTCGATGTAATTTTTGAAAATATATGAATCGAAATGATAAAAAATAACTAATTATAGAGGATAATATATAATTAATTTTTTTAAAAGATAGATACGAGTAAGAGATAGAGAGAGAGAGAGAGTTAAAAAATGAAAAGAAAGATTAATTTTGTTAGAGTAACGGGTTCAAATATTTTTATTTTTATAAGAATAATATCAAAATAATTAATTATAAAGATAATGCATAATTAGTCTTTTTTTAAAGATAAACATGTGAAAGAGATAGAGTTATATATTGCCGCATATTGGATTGGGATAGAGACCCTGACAGGACCCGACCCACGCCCAAGCTCGGGTCTCTACCATGTCCCTCGGAAAAGGAGGCAGGCAATGTAATAATGGAGGCCATATTCCAAGGCAGGGAAAGACGGAAAAGGAGAGGTGGATTCCAACTTTTGCCAAAGGAAGCAGAAACAAAAGAAGCCTAGTGGAAGCATGCTCAAGATCGAGATGGTCTCACAATCCCATGGCTGGGATCCCTCTAATATATGATACAACAGAAATTATGTTCACTTGCGAATATTTGGTGAAATGGATGGATCGAGGTGACATGTTCTCTTCATGAGCAAGAGAGAGAGAGATGCAAACGACTAGAAGACATTTAGGTGATTGATTTTGGTCGTTCTTTCCTTGTTGTGCATCAATGGATCTTTTTATAATCCGATGGAGAGTAAAATGATGAGGAAAAATATCTAACGCAGACAACATCTTGTTGCAGAATCTGTCACCGACTTGCTTGACCAGATAACTTGTCAGCACTACCAAGTCATGTAGATTTTGTCGGCATCACAAGCCGAGGAGCTAACACCATTGACTGTGTTTGTGGAAGGAACCAATCGCTAGCGAGCTTTCAATTGCCAACACATGTACAACCTTTTCGAGGCCTGGAAAGGATTTCATGGACGTCACAACCGCACCTCGAATAATTGCAGATGGGAAAGAAGAGAATGAGTGAACTAGATTTCAGATACCCGCTTCCACAACTCAGTGCTCCATCACCGCATTGGTTCATCTGATTCAAACATGGCCATTGTTGTCGAGGGGCCGAGCTTGTAGGCGTATGGTTCAGAGAACACATGGGCAGCGGCAACGAAGTGGACGGCAAATGAAGCACGTCTTGTTGGTTCAGGAGAAAAGATCGTACTGACTGAATGATCCATTCTTCGATGGGAGACTTTTGATTCCAGGCGCAGGAAAACACCAATGGAGTTGGATTGATGATCCAACACTCTTGTCTCCTTTTATCGTATCGTGTGGACAACTCTGCCTCAGCATTTTCGACCTTATTTTACAGGGAATGGGGAGGATCGAGTGGAGAAGATGGTAGAGTGGACAGACTGAGCTGCAGGAGCATGTCACCGCGCAGCTTGCGAGGACTAAAGGCTGAATGAGATGGGGAGGTGCAGTGAAGGACTCGAGCTCTCTGGTCCAATGACAGAAGCGAGAACTTTAGAGAGAGGTGATAAGAAGAAAGGCAGATGTTGCTCTTGAATCATCATAAGTCACACAGCTGTAAGGTTTCGTTTGACTTTAATATGGATTCGACTGTGGCCTCCGCTCAAAGGTAAAGATTTTATTATCTGTTCACAGAACATTAAGATTCTCAAGACATTTACGTAGACGATTGTCTCACGTACGATATAGAAGAACACTACCGTCAAAAGCAGCCATCTCA